ATCTGAACAATACTGCGTTCTATTGTTTGCGGTTGCGCGAAAAACTTTTATTTTATGGTAGTGAAGCAGTAATGCGTTTCGGTTTGAAGGGTGGGGTAGCCGTTGTAACTATACTGAGACCTTAGAACTTATATCTTGAGGTGGGTGGCGCATATACGTTGTAGATGTCTATGGGCTCCAGTAACCACTTAACACCAGGTGGGCTGTGAGCTCGTCCAACCATCTAAGCAATAAAAAAATAAATTAAAAAAAAGACGAAAATGTATTATAAATCCAAATTTTTATACTTTCTGCCTTAATACAAAATAGCAGGCTGAAGTGGCATTGGGCAGGCCACATGACGCGAAGATTGGACGGCCTATGAGGCAGAAAGATGCGCTTTTGTAGTATGTCACGGCCACCGGATGGATCGACGACCTAGTGAAAATCCGTCCCGTTAGATTCAGGTGGCAACGGACCGGCCATACTGAACCGGTCGATTGGAAAGCCCTAAATTCAGCAATGGACAGCTAAGATACGCGTCCATTGGATCGTGCCGAATTCACCGCACGCAACGGATTTTGGACACAGCACTACTTGAAATCATACAAAGACCTTTTTTTTTCCCTACCTAAGCTGATAGCTTTGAGAGGCTATATCAGCGTAACCTTAACTAGTAGGTGAGCTCACGAGGCTTAAACCTGACGACGCTGCTAACACGAACCCTAGCAAGAGCCGTGCTTCGCAGAATCTACCACCAGATCGGAAACGCGACCCACTGAGAAGATCCGGCGAGAAACTCAGTGGGAATTGACTCGTCGAGCCCTTCATCGCAAGCGACGGGTTCGACGAGAACGATGACCTGTGCTTGAGGTACCTAAAAGCACCGTTAGTGGATCGGGAGGATCCGAAATGACGTGTTTGGGGCGACGTCGACTGCTTACCATTCTGTCCGCAGGATCGGGAATGCGCCAATGGACGCCTACCTCTATAGGCTGAGATGATGATGATGATGATGATGATAATGATAATTGCCATTCTTTAGTTCAGATTTTTTATGATAAAACACGAATTGATTATTTATTATTTACAAACCAGTCACAAAAAAAAACAACTCAATTCACCTATAAAACTTATTGCGTTTCCGTTATTTAAAATTATGTCTATCATTTTGCGAGAGCTGTAACAAAATTCACCTCCAAAATAAGCCTTTCGAGTGTAAAGCGTATCTTGGATAGCAACAGAGCAGGAAAGGCAGTAAACACCTCGCCGAGGGACGGAAACAGGAAACTAGCTGTGGAAGGATTTAACCCTTCCTGTTTACTGATAGGCAGTGTAACTACTGTTACTGATTAAAGACGAATGTATGTATTCGTCGTTCGATAACATTGTTTTCATTTCAGCAAAATTAAAGTGAGGATTTTGATTTACTCGACAATTTATTTTGCAAATTTAAACTTTCACATATAGATTTTTTAATAATAAGCACGACGAGATCACCGCTGCATACTGGCCTATCTATTAGTGGTCCTTGCATCAGGATCACTGTTTGTCAGCCTTATTTTCCTCATGGTATTTTCATATCATATTAACAAGGTTAGAAAGTTAGTGTTACGAATCCAACTCTCACAAGTAATTGTCGATTATTGTGACCGTTTATGAATTCAGATGCTCTCATTATTATATCATTATTAAGATAAGATTTTTATTTACCAAGAAGTGTTTTTTTATCGTTTAGTTGGGTGGACCTGGTGTTAAGTGGCTACTGAGGCCCATGGACATCTACAACGTAAATGCGCCACCCACCTTGGAATATAAGTTCTAAGGTCTCAGTATAGTTACAACGGCTGCCCAACCCTTCAAACCGCATTACTGCTTCACGGCAGAAATAAGCAGGGTGGTGGTACCTACCCGTGCGGGCTCACGAAAGGTCCTACCACCAGTAAGTATATTACTCGTGGCACTGTTGATTGCCAGTACTTCGTGAACCAGGACGGAAGATTGACGGTGGTAAATATGGCGTTTACGTCTTGTCTCGCCTTGCTTTACTGCCTTGTTGAATTTCTGTTTCATCCGACATTCAGGCACAAACTGTTTCAGAGCGACAGGATTTAAGTAGGTTCGTATCCAGCGTTTCCTGCCTCTTCCATAATCATAGGTGGAAGTCATAAGATTTCCTACTCCTTCGTTCAATTCTACGAGTATTGTTGAAGGGTGGGGCAGCCGTTGTAACTATACTGAGACCTAAGAACTTATATCTCAAGGTGTGGCGGCATTTACATTGTCGATATCTATGGACTCCAGCAACACTTAACACCAGCTGGGCTGTGAGCTCGTCCACACATGCAAGCAATAAAAAGTATTTAAAACAGATTAATGGAACTGATTAAAAATCATTTTCATATTTCATAATTATTTTGCGACTGCTTTGGAAATATAAACCAATATTACGATTTGATTTGACAAAGCAACGAATTCACGATTAAAACGTACATACAAAATTTAACAATCCAATAATTGTAGGTACAATTTGAAGAATAATGAATAATATTTCCACGAAGCGTTCCCTATTCCGGGCGCTCGTCAAACTTGTTACTTGAAATTATGATTAATAGCTTACAAAGACAATTATTTCTTGTATTTTAATGAGGATGAGATAGCGAAGGTCACTCAACTTCGAATTGTTCGGAACAAAAAAACTTGTTAAAAATACTTTGATTTTAGTAATACTCTGTCTGTTTTTATACTGACTGGGCTTTGCTTATATTATTTTATTTAACAATGGATATACGAAGTTTTAACACAAGTTGATTTATTTTTTCTCTTTTCTAAATTGGAAAAGTATGGGCTTGAAAATTTCTAACTGTTAGAGCCAAACAATTAATGTAATATCATATTTATTTAATTAAACTTTTAAACTACCAAAACAATTAAAAATGCTAAATTCATCCGTAAAAGCAATTTTAATTATGTCTATGACTCGCGCAAAGCGAAGATAATATTTATTAATCACCAGAAATTAATGGAAAAGTTCAATCATATCACGTCTAAAGTTACAGCATATGTAACTACACCAAGCTTAGTGTTTCTAAATTATTTGTCTTTATGCTTAGCATAATATAGCACTTATGTTATGAGCTCAAAAATTAAGAAAATAACCAATTAATCGAAAGCCTTTTTGGTATGGTAACTGGAATTTGCATTAAAGTAAGCAATCGTTGATCGGTCGCCCATCAAAGTTTCCAACCCTGTTTCTACTAATCTCGGACAGCGTAAGCTCGGCCGGGAAGCGCTGGATGACGGTAATTTAGCCATCCAGCCGGACACCGGAGCGACGGTCGCCGATGCAACCACCGGAGCTTTCGGTCAATAAACTGTACAAATTACATACTACTGCGTAATGGTTAGAAAGCTTGCTTGAAAGTTGCTCTTTGTAATAATGATAACGAGTAGTGCGCATGATCTTAATAGGCTCCAATATATCATTGAGGGCGCCTGGAAGATCTAAATAAAAGCCTTGACGATGATAAACTAAAGCTACGCTGTTTTTGTTTCGCTCAAAAACTTATTGGTCCCTACAATCGACGGCTCCTTGTTATTTTCACGACAGAGTAACTCGGTGGATTCCATTAATGTGTACTAACGACCGGACGCACTTCGGATTGGGGTTTAAAAGGGTTGAGTGGTTTTGTACAATCGTACTGATAAAAGGGGATGGATGTTAAAGCTTTTAGCGATTTAAAAGATGTCCCGGCGGGCGGATTAATTTTAGCGCCAATGAATTAATCATGACTAAGACACATTTTCCGCTTAAGAAAAACGCGTGGGTGTCTTATTATAATTGTTTCACGATGGATTGTTATTTAGTTGTATGTCACCATTTTGGAACATTATGTAATTACTAGTGGTGTGAGTATTATCATATAGTTTTTTTTTGGTCAGGAGGAAATCGCTCCACTCCTCTCCACTGGGGATGGAGGGCGGGGCACGTCAGAGTTGAACTGACTAAAACCTCCTGTCGCTCAACAACCCACGTCCGAACCTCGCAAGAGACAGAAGTCATGAATAGGCAAAGGGGGCAGAGTGAAGCGCTTAGTGCGGAGCACATCTCTCCCATCACCCTCTCCCTCGGGATCATCATATAGTATACCGAATTAGATGAAGTAAAAGAAACACCAAAATCAAAAATAGAAGAAATACATCCTTGTAGCATGTTGTAATGGATATACTACTGGCGATATAAGCCAAGGAGGATTGACGTCGGGCAGGTAGCTGGTCGTAAAACTTATGCCAAATCTCTATGCAGCGTTAATAAGAGGACATACTGCGCCAATCCCATATAATGTGGGATAAAGGCAAGAAGATATGGTATTAAGCAGGTTGCACTAAGTTGCTCATTTCTACCGCGAAGCAATCATGCATTCTCTATGTTTGAAGGGTGAAAGTTATACACACAATTGAGACGTAGATGTTTCACGATCGATAGTGGTATTCAACCTATGGCCTTTAGTGGCCAGTTGGCATAGTCATGATCTGATCTTGGTGAATAAGACACAGATTTTTTTTTCCTAAAATAATAGTAGGCTGATCTGTAAAAGCTCTAAACCAAAAACTTGTAAATAGAGGGCAAAATTCGAGAGGCACTGAAACCATTTCTGATTCTACAATCTGCTTTGTTTCACTGGTTTGAAGGTGGAAGTATCGTTCAAGTTATTCTCCTTAAAACAAATAAATTTCGAAACAATTTCGCAAAAACAAAACTTGCAAATTTTCGCATTACGCTTCATTTAGATAAACAAAATATCCCTTTTAACGTTCAGAACGAGCTCGTTTGTTTTGATTTCGCAAACACCTCGTCCCGTACCGTCCCGTGGGAAGCATTCTAAACAAAACTAAAAACTAACTTATGAATATTCGCTCCTGTATATATAAGGTTAGGTGTCAATCGGCTTGGCGCATGCGCAGGGGTGAGCTAGGCACGGGCTTGCGTGTAGTCCTCAGTAATTGGCCGCCTGTCGACCAGTACAGTGAGGTCGTTACGCCGCGGCTCCACGCGAAAAACCGCGCGTATTCCTACAATAGTTTACGAACAAACGGTTGTGCTACTGAACTTTTTGTTAGTGCTATTTATTGAAGATTCGTTGAGGTCTGTGACAATTTTCAGTTACTCGATTTTGAGACTGGATATCTATTTTTGTGTTGTGACTTATTTTTGTATGGATTTCATAGCAATTGGTGAGTTTTATTTTTGTTTTATGTTTGTTATAAAAAAATGTATAACTAAGATGAAAAAATTTTTAACGTACTTTTTATTCCGTAAAAAATATCAGCCATGGTTTGTTAGAAGCTTAGAAATTAATAAATATTAAATATGTAAGTAAATGTAATTTTCTATTAAAGAAAATATAAATATTTTTCGGAGGTGATTTTAGTTTTGCTAATTTGTTTTTTTTACTAAAAAATAAAAACAAAATGGAAAAAGGTCGTGAAACATAATTTAGGTTAATTTGCCCATTAAAATACATAGAAGCTAAATAAGTAAATCCAAAATACGTATGCACTGCGGTGTCACGGATATGAAAGAGATTAAAGCAGTCTAAATTATTTAAGAAGTTTTTATTCACCTTCGAAAGGATACTTTTAAAGCGGTATCATGGTAAGATAAATGAGGTTGGTATTAAAAACGGTCAAATTATGCAAGAAATAGATCGACCGTCTGTCTATATTATTATAATTGTGGTGCAAATTAAAACGGAGTCACTTCGTTTGGGTAATAGTAATTTAAAGATTTTCTAAAAAGCGCTAAAATAAGTTTTTATTCATTTCTTGAACGTCACTCTGTAGTTCTTAGCATTATTAGCAACATATTTTGACTGTCACGTCAAATTATTGAAGTGCGATACTCTAGCGTGCGTCTTGAAAGTAATTTAGAATAAACACACACATATTATTATACATACTCGTATGTATATACATCAAGATACTATTCATGAGTTAAGAGTCCGACGATTATCGCTTTAGCCGAAATCAGCGTGAACGATTCATTTTAAATACTTTTATTGGATTTTAAGACATGCCTCGTAAATGTCGCTTGGCTCTTAAAAAAAACTTGATTCCCAAAATCATTTTTTTTTTTTTTATTGCTGAGATGGGTGGATGAGTGGATCAGCGTCACGGCCCACCTGATGTTAAGCGGTTACCGAAGCGCATAGACATAAATAACGTAAACTTCGCCATTTTATATGTAGTACAACGGCTGCCCTACCCTTCAAATCGAAACGCATTACTGCTTCACTGCAGAAATAGGTAGCTTGGTGGTATGTACCTACCCGTGCGGTCTCACAAGACTTTCTAGCCCTAATACCAGAAATTGCCCACGAAAACTATAGTTTTAGCGGGTTTGATCCTTATTACACGGTATTATTCCTAAGATTAACTTAGAATTCATGCTAAGTACGTATGTGATCGGGATTTGTAAATAGGTACAATCGTTTGATACGAAAGCACAGAGGTTTTTATTCATTAGGCCCCAATTATTTTATGAACTGATGTATTTCCCCGTTTTTGAATTCGTATATTTAAACAAAAAGTCATTAGTTGTGACCTCATTCATACAATTTTTTCATTGTTCACAGACTTGTAGTCAAGCTCACTCACTGTTCACTTTGTTCGGTTGTTACTGAAATTCATACTAAGAAAGTCCGTCACAACACCAAAAAATATGTGATAATTTAGTGTGTTTCTCAAACAATTGTGCTTTTTTGACTTTTGAAACGTGTAAGCAGTGGTACGCTTTAAGCTAGACTGTGGCTTTATTGGTTTTGAAGAGTGAAGCTTACCTCTTGTGTCTATAATAGAGAAGAGAACGACGAGCTGGCTTAATCTCTACGAAATAAAAAAAAACTAACAAAACACGCTTTTATAGAAAATCCAACTAAAAAACAGAAAATACATTTTAATAAATTTGAATTAAAGGTAGTGTAATAAAAAATGATTTTATTGTAAAAAAGCGTGGGGTCCTTTTCAGGATATTATCAAAATAACCCTTCTACTCATATCTGCTCTTAGAACACTTGCTACTATGCACCCCACGCTTTTTTTCTGTTTTTTAGTTGGTATTTCTATAAAAGCGTATTTTGTTAGTTGATTTGAACTATTATATTTATTTTTAATTTATTAGTTGAATTTAAATTTTTCCAATATTTTTTTAAATATTCAATTACCATCGGTCCTTAATAAGTATACCAAATTTCGAGTTAATCCGACGTTTTGAAAGGGGTCAAAATCATGTTTAAAGATTCCGTTACATATTTTTTTTTATTGCTTACATGGGTAGACGAGCTCATAGCCCACCTGGTGTTAAGTGGTTACTGGAGCCCATACTAGCATACATACGTCTGAAGCTAATAAAAGCGTATTAATTGCGTTGAAGCGTATTATTTGAATTTGAATAATTGTTGGTTAACTCATTGAATGTATACTCATTAGATTCTTCTTAACACGTAGACTGGCATGTAGGTCACCGGTGCCCTACGCGGCGCTCTGAAGATTAATCGATTTCTATTACTAACGACTTGATTACCTAACTTTGCATTCTTTTGTTATTGTATCTTCGGATTCGTCTTTCCCAGAGTCTACTGTATATTCCGGTGCCTTAGTAAGAAGATCCAAAAGAGAAATCGACATAATTACTCCAGCGCGCTACGTAGGTCACCGGTGACCTACACGGCAGTCAACGTTTTAAAGTTTTGGAACGAAGTTCTTTATGGGACAATGCAGATGGGTACCCTAACCGGGAAAACACATCCGTAACGTAAGATTTTTATTAGTAATGCACACAGTGTACGACTTAACTTTGTAATAACGTATAAAAATTAACATATTGTTTTATCTTTCACTGACCACAATCTCAGAGCGTTCGTTTGCGCAACACACTAACTCTTATGCAAACAACCGTGAATGAAATGTACCACAATAAGTTCGCACGTTACCGAATGACCGTGGGCTGTTGAGATACCTCCAGTTTTATTTTCTTTATACCTCGAATAGAACTTAAAATTAATATTTTTATAATAAGTAACTTAGTTCCTATCCGGTGTCCCACGACACCACGTATCTTTTTTTTTTCAAAAATCAAGTAGAAAGGTATCTGATCCCTTAATCCGGAACACACGGCTTCGTGCCAGCACATAGTGTTATACAATTATCCTTACCCGTACGGCTTTTGATAGCAACCATTACAATAATTATTTTCAAATCCAACTTAAAAAGTCCATATCTTTTCTCAATCGTAACGCTTGTTAGGAACGATCCCAAAAACGTAATTAAATTAAAAATTCGATTCTGTAAATGGACAGTTAATTTCGATGTCGTCAATCGGCTCGGAGTAAAGGCTGCGCAATAATTAGATTAGTTGCCTTTTCGTCACGGGGATTACAATAATTGAACTGTTTGATCGCATTCTTAAAGGCTTCTATAGTATAAATAATACCTATTTGATTTTGTAAGTCGACTGAAGACCTATTCTGGTTTTTTATTGGACACAGATAAGAGAACCTAAGATTTAGACAATGCCACTATGTGCAAAGCTAAGCTGAATTAATTAAGGAACCAAAGAAGATGCAAGATTTTTATGAAAGACCAGCTGACCCGGCAGACTTCGTAGTGCCTCAATCGATAAATAAAATACCTAAACTTTTGTATAAAATAAACTTAAAACAAACAAAAGGAATCGGTCCGACGGGGGACATATCCAAGGAAAAACAAAATTGTTATATTTATTTAATTCGGAACATTTTCATATTTATATACCTTTTAGACCTTCTCTGGACTTCCACAAATAATTCAAGACCAAAATTAGCCAAATTGGTTCAGCCGGTATTACTGGTGGTAGGACCTCTTGTGAGTCCGCGGTATCACCACCCTGCCTATTTCTGCCATGAAGCAGTAATGCGTTTCGGTTTGAAGGGTGGAGCAGCCGTTGTAACTATACTTGAGACCTTAGAACTTATATCTCAAGGTGGGTGACGCATTTACGTCGTAAATATCTATGGGCTCCAGTAACCACTTAACACCAGGTGGGCTGTGAGATCGTCCACTCATCTAGCAATAAAAATAAAAACAAAGCCGTTCTCGAATTTTAGTGAGACTAACGAACAGCAATTCATTTTTATACATACTTATAGAGATAACAGTAAATAGAAACTTATAATTTATAATTTAATATCCTTGATCTACCCACATCGTATAGCCTAGATGGTTTCAAACATAAATAAACCAGTAATAAGGACAAATCAATGAAATACAAGACATTAAAAGTAGCAGTAAAGGAAGTATAAATAGAATTATAATTATAGGAATTTATATTTACATTCGTTTCTAACAGCATCTAATAAAGACCTAGCACGTGCAGAAGGTGTAAAAGAGCTCCTAATTGAACTTCGGATAGTGTATGATGTTGCATATACATACTACTTTGTATTTATTGCACTAAGTAAGTCATGTCCTTCGACCAACCTTATATTGAGCAATCATCGTAGCCTATAGACTTACAACGTAAATTCCAATCCATTTGAGACTTTGAGTTCGAAGTCTCAATTGTTTTACGTAGCGGCTATCCTTTGAAATTGTAACACATAACAGCTTTACTGCACGAACAGGTAGGCTTCTGGTAATTAGTAGATGCACGCAATGTGTTTGTATATGTTCCGGCACATACACGTGCAATTAAGGACAAGAAGCTTTCTCGTGCGCACTCAAAAGCTTCCAGGCAAGCGTCTTGAACGCTCCATGTCTGGGATTTTTTTAATTAATTTACATATTTTAGCGGTTTTTGTTGATTTTAACAGGTTATGATAAATTTTAATTAATGGAAATGACTAACTCGTTAAGTATGGGCTATTGAAATGTCTGAATTCATAATTATAGTTGCCATATTCAATTACCTATCAGCTTTTATTCGCTAGACAGATTTTGTAAAAAAAATTGCAAATTTTGTTTATTTATTTATTTTAAACTAGTAGTCCCGCAGTAGTCGAAATTCGACTATAATTCTTCGACTATATTTCTTTATTATAATTTAATCTATTCTCAATTTGAGCATAGACTTCAAGAACAAAAGTTTGACAATAAATAGTATGCATGCCTGTGTGCGTCAAATACATGGTATGTAGTGTGTGTAATGTTTTCTTTATTGATTTAATGTATCTTTTATGCATTATTTTAAAAAAATATTA